TGGTATCAATAATCTAAAACTAAATCAGAAATAGCATATGGATATCAAATTCATTCCAGTTCTGTTTTGTTAATAGTCCTTGTCTTAAAACTGTGTTGAAAAATATTTAAAGACCATACCAGGGTACAGGGGAAGTATGCCATAATTGATTAGTGATGTCTGCCTTGGGCGTGTAGGAGAAACCTTTATCTACCTGCCAAATATTTATGATCCCTGTATTAGTTCTAGGCAGATTTTACTTTGTGTTCAGATTCTGAGGGGCTATCTGTTACATGCAGAAGATCAAAAGTTCTGCGTCTATATTCTCAGCTCCCCAAGAAATACCCCTGGAGAACACCACTGTCTACCTACTCTACCACTATCTCTGGTCCCAAGGCCAGGGACTTGGTCCTGACTTTTTAATGGTCTCTGGCTCGAGTCTTGGGAGTGATGCTTCATTCAGATATTCTAATCCTTGACTTTGTCTTTGACTGTGGATTAGTGTCTTTCTGATCTCCTGGTTCCTTGATTTCTGGACCTCCCCTTTGCTTGAAATGAGAGTTAATTTATTCCAAAATATTCTGAAATTAAGAATCCAGTATATATTTATAGGATATCTTCTGTAAATGGGAAGATAGTAGTGAGGCTTTTAAAAAGCATGGTTGGCATCCATTGGCATTTTTCCATAAAGCTTGAAAAGTGAGAATATAAATTAGTTCAAACATTATGGAAGACAATGTGAGGATGCCTCAAGGATTTAGAAATAGAAATACCATTTGACCCAGCTATCCCATTACTGGGTAAATACAAAGGATTAGAAATCATTCTATTATAAAGCCACATACATGCTTATGTTTATTGGGACACGGTTAACAATAGCAAAGACTTGGAAACAAACCAAATGTCCATCAATGATAGACTGGATAAAGAAAATGTGGCACATATGCACTATGGAATGCTATGCAGCCATAAAAAAGGATGAGTTCATGTCCTTTGCAGGACATGGATGAAACTGGAAACCATCATTCTTAGCAAAATGACATAAGAACAGAAAACCAAATACCACATGTTCTTACTCATAAGTGGATATTGAACAATGAGAACACATGGACACAGGGAGGGGAACATCACACATTTGTTGAGGGGTGAGGGGCTAGGGGAGGAATAGCAGGGGGCAAGGGGATTGGGGAGGGATAGCATTAGGAGAAATACCTAATGTAGATGACAGAAGATGGATGCAGCAAACCACCATGGCATGTGTATACCTATGTTAGAAACCTGCACGTTCTGCATATGTACCCCCGAACTTAAAGTATAATAAATTTAAAATTAAAATTGAAAAATGACAAATGTTTAAAGTGAAGATATGGTAATTATACCAATTTGATCATTATATAATCTACATGCATTAAAACATTGCATTGTACCCTATAAATATGTATGATTATTATGTCAATTACAACTTTAAAAATAAAGTAATTTTTCCTGAACAAAAGAAAAGAAAAATGAATAGTTCTATGCCCCATTCTAGACCTGTCAACCAGTAGGGGATTACAGGGTTGGGGAGACATGCAATAATTTGTTAAAAAAAATTCCTCAGAGGATGATCATGAACACAATTTGAAGAACCACTGAGATAAGAAGCCTTAACTGGCTGAAAGTTAGCCAATAATTGCCCCAGTTTGGTCATTTAGTCACCAAATGCTCCAGTGGAAATCAAATTAAGTTTTCAAGTTTTGCATTGTACCCTCGTTCTGTTATGCTATGCATAGAACCGTGGCCTGTGGGTGCCATTTTAGAGAACGTGATTCTTTCTTCAAGTCACTATTCGTTTTTAGCAATTTTCTCTGCCCTTCTATTGCCCCAATCTTTTTGTTTTTCCTCTTCTTACCATCCTCCTATCTAAACAAACACACTTATACACAAAGAAAGACTTCTGAGAACCTCTTATCCCATTCATTATGTATCAAGATCTATTTTCCCTTTGAAGAGTCACATTGCAAAAGCAATGTCTCCCTGCTTGTGTATAAGGATATGTTAACTCACCTAAAAAACTCATCTGGCAACAACTGGCTAGAAAGCTCTAGATGAACATATCATCTATAGACTTTTTCAGATTTTAACAGGGTAGCTTGTATTTTCCCTACCTAAAGCATACTTCTTTTTCTAGATGTGCAACTCCCCATATAGATACAACCAGAAGGCAAGCTTTTGCTTTTTATAGAAAGCAGTCTAGTCTTCAACAAAATAATGGGATGTTATCACATCATACTGGGCCAGCCAGCTTCTACTGTGCTATTGATGTACCAGTTTTAGTGTGTTCTTGCATGATTACAGTCACCTAAATATAATTCCTGAAGCAGGAATCATTCTCTTGTGGTTAAATTTCACCATTTCCATCCCTGGCCATGAGGTGAGATGCTCATTCTAGAAGTCATGGGGTTAACAGTGATAAAACAAGATAGCAGTGGTCTCCTGTATCGTCCTTAACAAGAGCAAAAATAAACTTCATGGGGGTTAATATTTCACACAAAAAAATAAGAAAAAGAACACTGCTTGCTCTTTATGTTGTGCTAATAAATTTGACAGAAATTTTTACAGATATTCCTAGCATAATCGATATAAATTCAATTTCTTGCAACAGTAAATTATTATTACTGAACTCACTGCCTAATCTTATTTTTTTCTGTTACAATATAATTATTTGATTTAAAACACTTAAACTATTAGATCTTAACAAAAATGAGAATGTTGTGATTCTGTAGGTTGCTGGCTTGGCAAAAATCCCTTTTGCTATGATCTCCTTGTTACATTTGATAATTTGCCACTTTCCTAAATTTAAATGTCATGGTTTCAGTATATGCACTGGTATTTTCTCATTGGTTGTTCATACTTCTGTAGCCATATGCCTATGATAAGTTCATGTGCATTTTTATATAATTTACTGTTCCCATTTGGCAATTCTATACCTTTAATTGTGTCAACCAACAACATAAAACTTCATAACCCATCGAGAATACACAAAGAAAAATTTATTCCTTCTAAAACTCCAGGATAACAAGCACACTGCTCGAAGACAGCTTAAATTTCCCCATACTCCAATTCTACAAACACAGTGTTCTTTAGAACAACTAGAATTCAACTCCTGCTGCCTTTTTTCATTTTCAGGTTTTTAAATGAATGTGAAATTTATGCCTGTGATCTTATTGAAAGATCCATAATCATGACTAGAAATGAAAAATGAAATGGTAGAGACATGAATTGTCAAATAGGCATCATAATCAGAATCATCTATAAAACTGCTATAATTATTTTTCCTTCTTATATTCCACAAGAATAAACTTATGGGAAAGGTTTTAATGTCTTTAACTTGTTGCATGAGGCATTGAGTTGTTTTAATAACAAAATAATTATTATCTCCATAGGCTTTTATGATATTCATTATTCCCTATAAAAATATGAATATATATATATTCTTCTCTCTATTGCATTTTACTACTCTAACTCTAACTCATATTTTACTATTTCTGTGGCTCAGGAATAGACAGAATAAAATGATATTCAAGTTGGTTTCACAGACAGTAAACACGCATTATGAAATTGAAACATGCTATACTTATTGAGCATATATTTTAGAAGAACTTTCTCTAAAATACTTTATAACTTAAACCATAATCTGGAATCATTCACTGTCCTTGATTTTAGAATTCTGTGTGGTTTCATGAAAATTTACTATTTTAAAAACATGGTTCAAAATTATAGCCTCTGAATTACACAATTTAGGTAAAATATATCTTTTAAGCTGGGAAATTAGTAAAATGCCATTAATCCTTTGCATGATTATATGGAGAACAGAGGTAACAATGAAAAACTAGATTAATACCATTTCTGGATACACAGACTGTTGCAAATTTTTAGACAGTCTAAGTCAATCCCTGTTGTCCCATTGAAATCTCTGAATATTTCAGAGATTTGTCCAAAGTAACATGGAACCAGACTAGACCCCCAATGTCCTAACATCTAGTCAAGCTATCCCTAGACCCTCTTGTGCAGAATGTGTCTGTTAGAACTCTTAAGTCACAGGTGTACCAACCTGCCAGAGCTGCCTACATCCAGTGAAAGATACAATATCTTATCAGTAACAATATATTAGAGTTGATATTGCACAACACTACAGCCACGTAGGTGAGTATAGGAATCAGATGTATAAGAATCATGTCTAGAATCAATGCCATAGGGCTGTCTGAATCAAAGAGTCACAAGACTTATAAGTACCCTGAAGGTGCATGTGCACTAGCAAATATGTTGGCCACAGAGTTTCACAGCTTGATGACACTCCCTCTACACCAAATACTGCCTCTTCCTTTTTTAGAAACTTGCACCTCTGATCTCACTATGAATTGCTGGACATGATTAATGTCTGTCTAGTTGTAGGGAGCCTATGGTGAAATGCTAACCAAATCTTTCCTATATTCACCCATCTGGGTATATATTGTGCATATACAACTGGGCAACTCTACTTTATTGTATAGCTTGAGTACTGGATCCAATGGACAGTGATAGCCTAGGTAGCCACTAGGAAGAGAGAGAGAGCATTTACACTGGTGATAGTAATGACCATCACACATTCCCACCTGGAGGAGAAGGTAATATGCTCCTCTTTTCCCACCCCCTAAAAATATGTGTGTAAGTAGAGAAGGTGGGGAATGAATGATTTTGAAGAGTTGTTTTAGGTAGATTAGACAATTTTATACTAGATAATCTCTCATTACATTTAATAATTCTATAATAAATGTTACTTTGAAAAGGCTATATCTGGTTGGTTTCCAGTGGAATGAATGTGGCACAGTTTTAGATTCCTGTAGCACTGAAGCCTACTAAGCCTTGAGTTAGTTCTCTACTCTTGGGCATACCATTCTGCATATACAAAACTTCTTACTTTATACAATCAATTTAGTCTCAGCGCTTACAAAAATAAACACGTTTTTTAAAAACATATTATGATGTGCATTTTCACTTACCTTTTCCGCTGATTGAGCAGTGCCAAAAAAAATTGGAATGAAGGCAAGCCATACTATACATGTCGTGTACATAGTGAATCCAATGGGCTTGGCTTCATTAAAATTCTCTGGTACACCCCGAGTCTTGATGGCATACACAGTACATGTGACCATGAGAAGAATGCTATATCCCAAGGAGCAAATGATTTGGAGATCTGTAATGTCACACTTGAGAACTCCTCTGGCCTGCTCAGGGTTCATTGTTTTATGTTCATCATAGTCTATGATGATATTGGGTGGATCAACACCAAACCAAATGAAAACCCCTAGAAGCTGAACTGATATTAAACTGGAAGTGATTGCCAGTTGCGATGTTGGGCTTATGAGTCTGGGAGCTGTCACTGATTTCTTGCCCTGCTCAAATATGCGGTAAATCCGATTTGTTTTTGTCAAAAGGGCTGCATAACTGATGCACATACCCAAGCCCAAGAAAACACGCCGGAATGAACACACTGCCACATCAGGTTTGGCAATCATCAGGAAAGTGATGATGTAGCAAAGAAAGATGCCTGTCAAAAGAACGTAGCTGAGTTCCCGCCCAGATGCGCGGACAATGGGCGTGTCATTGTAGCGGATGAAAGTGGCCATGACAAAGATGGTGGCAATGATCCCCAACATTGCCAGGAAGACAGGAATCACAGCCCAGGGGGAGTGCCACTCCAGTTTGATGATGGGAATATCCTGGCAACCGGTTCGATTTTCATTGGGCCTCTGGTCATAGGGGCAATGTTGGCATGTCATCTCATCAAACTGATACTGGTAACCATCACAAGGCTCACAGGTCCAACAGCAAGGAGTTCCTTTCTGTGTCTTCTTTCTCTGTCCAGGCTTACATGGTAGTGTGCACACTGAGGGGGGTATCTCTCGGACTCCTTTACCCCACTGCATGTCTTCTATCTGTAACATAAGAAATAAGAAGGTGAATCAGGCAGATTCTTGAAGAGAATAGAAAAAGAACACCAGCAAAAAATGGTACTCATGGCAAGTGACATTTGAGGCTTGACAAGGTTGAATAGCTTATCTCCAGCTTGCAAGAGTTCCAAGCATGATTTGAGCCCATACCAGATGACTCCAGCATCCTCACTCTTCATCATTAGAGTGTTTTCAACATGCTAGGTCTTAAGAATTCCCTGAGACAATACAAATTCCCCCTTTCCATTTCTGACTTTATAAATATGAATATCCTGAAAAAGAATCTTAGGAGCTGTATTTATAACAAGTGCCCAAATGATTCTTGTGAGCAGATAACTTGAAATGCACTGGCATGCCCTCTCCTGTCTTTCCCTGGATAATAAGTGTAAATGTCCCAAATCCAGTAAAAAACAAAAACAAAAAAAAATTTGGCAGTATAAAAAACTACACTCATCTATTTTGTTAGGTGTTTTATTTTCAAAATGTTCTAAAATTATTCTGGATAATACTACAGTGCTGGCCACCTTCCCTAAAATTCTGTAAGCATTACCATTATTTTCACTGAGAACTTTTGCAGCAATGTGAATCTATTATCACGGGGAGAAGTTGGGCTTACTATTGAAGGCTTTAATTGTATTAGTCTATTTCCTCTGAATTTGGGAAGTATTTGATAAGAAAATAATATGGTCTGGAAACCTTTCAAGGTTGGCCATCCCCTATTTGCAGATGAAATTTAGACTATCCTAGAGGAGATTGTATTTGCTTAATTGAAACACTGGTTTTCTGGAGGGGACATAATCAGCAGTGTTCTGAGAAATAATGGAATTAGAAACAACGGGAAACCTTACTATTGGGCGGAAATCTCATTAGAGTAGGCATTCTCTTTTTTGTCAGCACAGCATCTGCTCTTTCTCTTCCCTGGTATCAGTCCCTCAGATTTCCTTTCTATATGCTTTCTGTGGGGTTAAACTTACATTGAAACACTTGGGTTGTGCACACGACCCAGGTCTAACCAATTAGTATATTGTAGTGGTTCTCCAAATTGAGAGTGCATCAGAATCATATGGACTTGTTACAATAGAGTTTGCCAGATTTTCTGATTCATTAGATCTGGGATGTGGCCTGAGAAAATGCATTTCTAACAAGATCCCAGGCAATGCTGCAGAGGATTGTTCAGGAACCACATTCGTCAACCACTGATACATTCCAACCTCCTAGCAACAGAGATTGGGTCAGGGATAGTATCATTATGTCCCAGATCATAGAATTTAATTTCATGACTTCTTCTGAGATCACACACGATAAAAATCTTTGTTTTCACTGGACTGAGAGTTTTCAGGATATAAGGTGGCTAGTGCTGATGGCTAAAAGAAGTAGTTTATTACAGAAAGAAGCCAATGCAGAGTGGAAAGACAAAGATCACCAGTGAGTTTGTTTGAGCTCCTGGATATAGCTATGTCTGAAACAAGAATTTTCATAGACCCTGGCATTATGTAAGCCAGTAAATTTATCTGTACTAAAATACTTTGAACTTCATTTGTATTACTTGCAACCAAGAGTCCTGAGCAATACATTCATGAAATAGTTTTAGTATCCACAAGTTACAAAAGATGTACTAAGTCTGCAAGTTATTATACAGAATAATTTCAATTAACAATTATGGCTGATTTTTCCCATACCTAGTTAATTTAATTTTTAATACAATTGAACTAAACAATGGATTAGAAAGTTACTGGAAAGTCTCAGACATTGTTTAAGTACATAATTTTAAGAGACAAAGGGGAAAGAAAAATAATATATTGCATATTGGAATTTCAGATTTTTGTCAATATACCAAATGAAATGCATTAACAGCGTGATTCTTCCATCAATACTTGAATGTGAATTACATTCAAATTCTTAATTGAATGTAGCTAACCTGGAAAAATTAATGGCTCAGGAGTTAAACTTGGTAAAATAGCATAACCTTCTAATGGTTGAATTTAAACTTTAACCAGAGAACCAAGAATGTTTCAAATGACTCCAGTGTGAACTTATTTGCCTAGGCACAAAACCCAAGTCAGCACCAATAAATCACTAACTATAAAGCACAATCTTTTCTTTCTCAGGATCATTTTGGAGACAATAAGTCACTGGAAGCCATCTCAAAGTCATAAAATTAGGGAAATAACTTATAATAAAAAAGAAAGATAGGCATTAATTTTACAAATATCAAATTCCAAGAGTTGGAACCTTAAAAAATTGATGGTATTAATACAAGTGTTTTCAAAGATCAAAATGAAAGGTCCTACTCATGGCTACCAGAAAAGATTAACAATAACAACAACAAAGATAAATACACTTTATTAGCTAAACTTGAGATTGCTTGATTTCAACACTAGTGGCTACTAATGTGCCACACAATTAACTTTATCTATAGGAATAAATGTAGGGCCCATACAAATAAACAAACAAATTATCATTAAATGTAATACTTTACAGCCAGTTTCAAATGCTGCCAACTCACTATTTTACCCTCTTGGAATAAAATAGATTATCTGGCAATGCTGCACAGCTTTTTCTTTCTCAACACATCCAAATATACACAAGAGCTATAACCACAAACATCACACTGACTGATCATTTAATTTGTTTTCAATTTTTGTTTAGAGCAGATTTCAACTCAATTTAATTGTATATGTTAAACCAACAAAGTTTCCTCTTGCTCCAGATGGACTAAACTCTAATTTACTCACTTTGCCAACAAAAATCATTATTGAAAATATAATTTCTGTCCCATGAAGGGACGGACTAACCTTTAAAAGCTCCAGTAAATGACAATTTTGTTAATGTGATGTATATCATTTGTATATATCTCTACCGATCCACACAGACATGGTGCCTTGTTTCCTAAGAAACAATCAGCTGCAAATGCCCATGGGCATCTATTGTAAAGGAGGATAATTATTTAGCACTCTGAAAAATCAAGTCTAATATCAATTTACTTTGCAAGAAGGCTAACAGGAATGTAACTTTCAAGTTTCTCCTGAACTCTGCAAAAAACCTGTGATTTAGCTGGAAAGCCTAAGAGGAAAGCCTAAGGTGCAGAAAGATTAAGAAAAAGACTGGCGTGTTTATCATCTTCATTAGAAAATGCAAGTTTACATTCCTCCATAAGTATGCACGTTCCTAGTACATCCAAATTTTATGGTTTTTTGGTATCTGGTCTGCTTAATAGGTGGCTCCTGGGGAAGAGCTATTGAGATCCTAGCTTTTTGCAAGAGAACGGAACTTTATATCTCCATCTCCACCTCCTACCAAAAATTGACATTCTACATGGCAAATAGATTGCATAAATAGGTGAATCAATAGTTTAGGAAAAGAGCAAATCATGCAGTTCTGGTCAAAGAAAGCAAGAATAAGCTTGTTGTAGAGTCCCAGGAAAGTGTTTTTCATTCTTAAACAAGAGGAACAAAAAACAAATATTCTATTGTTAACTTAAAAACAGAAACTCAGACAATAGACAGGCTGTCTAGAACAAAATATTTCATTTGAGAAGACTGAAGGGTTGTAACCCACAGTGTGGAGCACACCCAAGGAAAATTGAGACAAAGGAAGGAAGCCCGCACAGATTGCTTTGAAAGAAAGCTCACTGGTCTCAGAAACACTGCAGGAGTTGTCATTAGTTCACTGGGAGAGATAGTCATTGGTAGGCTGTGGTCCTGAGCTGAGGTTCTTACTTGAAATATTACAGGCCAGAGAGAATTCCTGTGAGAAGCTCTTCTTGCTTTTTCCAAGCTATGAGCAAGACATTCAAGGTTTTCAGGAATGCAAGTATGACAGCTTCTTTTTTATGGTCCCCACTAACTCTATTTTGAACTTCTTACTTCCATACTGCCTTCAGCCTTTTAACTTCGATTTGTGCAAATATGAAGCCTGGAGCCATAGTAGACAATTTGCAACAAGAAAAAGACAAGCCTAAGAGACAAAACTCATATTGCTGAGGATGGCATAAATAAAAAGCATTTACTTCTTTGAGAGAAAAATTATGTCACCAAATTAAGTAACACTAACAACTGTTTTCCAAAATTTTGAACATGAAATGATAAACTGTCTTTAATGGCTAATCAATTCTCCATGGGCAGTCTACCAATTGCAGTCAAGCATTCTATCAAATACATTTTCTCTTATTTCTGCATTTGGTACCTGCAAACCTTCTGAGAGTGTCAGAAAAATTCACCAATAATTTAACTTGTAACCTGGATAGTAGGCAACTCTAGAAAGAAATGGAAATTTAGAATGATACATAATTAGAAACACCAGTCTTTGTCTCCTGAGAATGCTCAGAAAAATGTGTGCTAAAGTACTGAATTCAGAAAATCAGCTTTGACTCCTTTGCTACTGACTCACACAACAACAGAGGAAAAGCACCACCAGCTAAAGTTTTCTAGCACACATGTTGGGAGAAAAAATGGTGTCTGGCTCTAGTAGAGAGACAAAGCTACTCCACAGGGAATATGCAGACCTTATAATCACTGGAATTTTAAAAAGAAACTAAATTAGTTGCTGTCTTACTGCCTAACACAATGACCAAAGAAATGGAATTGTTATAAACACTGTTAGTGCATCCATTTTCATGGAGAAGAGATCTGTTCCTTTCCCCACAGAGACACACTCTAAAAGAAAATTTTGTCACTTCAGGGACATTTTTCTTGGTGAAATTCCATTTGCATATTTCCAAAGCTTACTCCATAGACTAACCTGGCTGGTGCTTTTATTACATAATCCTCTGCAATATTATTTTTACTTGTTAGAACCTTAATAGAATGAGCTAATTTTTAAAAAGAAGTTTCTTATTAAAATGCCATTTGTTCATTAAGATACATTTGTCCTGTCTAATTTAAAGGACAAAAACAGCTTTTTAAGAAAAAATGTATAGGAATGTTGAATTTTCAATGCTAGGAAGGAGCCAGGTTTTGGTTCTGGTGAGGAGGGGTGAGGAAGAG